CGGGATGACTGTAGAGGATTTCCATAATCTCGGCACCTTCTGTTGAGTAAGGGACAGTTGAAAAATATAATAAAAAATAGATCCCAATTGCTCTGCACAGGAGATAAGCAGCCAACCTTCAATTTTATCAGCACTGTAAAAAAAAATTCCGTAAAATTTATGGTAAAAAAAAACGGCAGCTGTGATTGCTGTAATTTTACCGTTAAAAATATGGTAGCAACGTTTTAGGTTTTAACTTAAATTTACAGTTAGATACCGTAATTTCATTAACTGATATAATGTTAATATACCAACCTATTGAAGTGTTAATATCTGTTTTGAACCATTGTAATGCACTGAATCTGAAATGTAACGCAGAGAATTCTGGGAATGTCAATTTATGGTTCCCTTTCAGTCAGTCACTTTCGACGTTACGTCAGTCGTGACTGACGAATTGGGATCTCGCCCAAGAGCCCAATCACCTTCGAGTGTTAACTAAACAAGCCAATGACAGTTGGCGTGCGTGTTTCGCCACGCGCACCCCGCTGTCCAGAAAAAAGGGAATCAAGTGTCCAAAATAAACAGGGGATCTGGTGTCCTCGTCGTGCTGCGGGGTTCGTGAAGGGAAGGGCAGTGGTCAGGAAGGAAGGGTCCAGGTAAGGGGCGGAGTCCGGCGGCTGCACGCGGTCCCCTCTCCAGTCCAGGGCACGAGAGGTGGCGGCTTCTTCCAGCGGCTGCATCCTTCTTGTTGCCCACGGTGTGCGAAGGGACTAGACGGCCCGGCATCCTGGCCCGACGGCCGTGTAACGGGTGCGGTTCTCGTCCGGACTGCGGGTCCGGCAGCTCATGACTCTGGCGGCACGGGAGTCCCTCTACGCACCCTTCCTGGACCCACGAGGACACCAGCGTGCATGCACGGGGAAGAGACCGGTCTCCCGAGGAGAGGCGCGTTCGGCATTTAAACAGCGGCGGTGATGAGGCTCCATTCGATTCAGGTGTGCCCCATCACACGCCGCCAGCCCTGGCTATTTCAGCGCCCCTCCTCTCTCACGCACCCAGTCCTGTCGGGAGCCTGGCGAAGGGTGGCGATTAAGGGATGGGGTGATGCTGATAATTAGGGGAAGGCAGCCGACTCGTCACACCATTTAACAGATTTTTACTGTTAAATTCACGGTCATTTTTTACAGTGAGGGCAATATTATCTGCCGACCAATGGCCTTAACCCTCCGTTCATAAAACCTGTTTGAAAACAGTCAGTGCTGCGCTAGTGACAGAAATGACATGCTTCGAGTTAAAAATGCTAGCTGAAAGCATTTTCTGCTCTCTTGTTTGGGATTAGTCATGAGAGTGTGGCACTGAGACTGGGTTTCTAGTCATTTGAGGACAAATGAACTATGCTATGAAACTATGCTTAGTTTTCACTTTATGTGACTCAAGTTCCACAGCATCATAAATTTAAAATAACTGCCAAGAACGTCTGTTTCAGAGACGCTTAAATACTACCTAACTGTCATCTCTAGATGTCTTGGTTTAAATATGGGCTAGATTAGAGAGATTTGTCTATCATGTAAAATTACTGCCATGTTCAAACAGCAAAATTATTATTCCACAACTGATATGTGCTGTTAACTGGAAGGTTGCCATGGGGACCACCAAAAGAGACAGCCAGCATATCAATCTGATGAATTACCTTCAATTTGTGGGATTGCAGCCTAATTGGGTGACACATCAAGCTATGGGTTTTTTTCCTGACAAGAGGAGCCTGTGTAATTCCAAAACCTCCACTCTGCCGAAATCAAACCATGGCGAGTGTGACAAGACTTTCTCAGCAGCACCACAATTTGAGTGTCAGTCTGAAGCTGATTTGAAATTCTCAGAGGGGCATGACAGTCCATTTCCCAACATCCCAGTGCATTACGAGTCAGACATTCAGCCAGCTACAAATAAGAACACTGATTAATCAACAAAAACATTTGATTAAATTAATCTTATTAATTGCCAATGAATCAATTTCATTGCAAATGTGTTCAGTTAATCGTCTGAGCAGTGAGGGAGAAAAATTGCCCATTACGTCACATCCCTGACACAGGTGTGCACACATGCAGACCAGAAATGATTCACGCACACTTGGCTTATAAAAACGTGGACTCGATGAACTCAGGCATAGGAGTTTCACTATAAATAATGTTTACAGTAGTTGGAAATACTAATGACCAATGATCATCCTTCAGTTTCTCTGACAGGGTCTGATGTAAGATGTCTATGATAACCGTGACCAATGTAATTGTAAACTAATGCTAAGTACTGTACTGTACTGTACACTGAACAAACACTACGTATTGTAATTTGAAGTATATAATCATCTCGACCCCTACCATCCATAAAAAATTATTTATCAAAAGCGCATATTATCATTGTTATTGCAATAATACAATTTCATATATAGAATTTTTGATTTTAACTCAAACTCTACTGTAATTGCACTGACATACACTACTGTTCAAAAGTTTGGTGGAATTTTTTCAGATTCTTTTTTTTATAATAGATATTTAGACATTTGATAGATATTTATAAAAGATTTCCATTTCAAAGAAGTTCTGCTATCTTGAACTTTCTATTCAAAAAATCCTGAAAAAGTATCATGGTTTCTACAAAAAAATATTAAGTACCACAATAATTTTCAATACCTATACTGATAAGAATTTTACCTGAGCACCAACTCATTGTATTAGAATGATTTCTTAAGCATCATGTAACACTGTGACTGAAACCCTTCACAGGAAATTTTTTTTTTAAGATAGATTAAAATAGAAAACAGTTATTATAAACTGTAATACATATTTTACAATATTACTGTTTTTATTGCATTTTTCATCAAATAAATTCAGCCTTGGTGAGCATAAGAAACATCTTTCAAAAACATTTTAAACAATCTCACCGACCTTAAAAAAATTGAAAAAATTGCATTCATAGTGAAAAATACCATAACGTTTTCAAGTATATTTGCTTAAATTTGTAGATTATAAATAGCTCTGTGAATGTGCTTTTAAATTCTGAAAGCACATTTTGCATTTTTAATGTTAACGATTAATTGATTGTAAATTTGAAGTGACAATCGGTTATGGACATTCTTGAAAAATTGGAATATCTTCATTTTCAATCGTTAACAGGTATGTTCAGTGAACAAATCAACTGAAAGGACCATTATATATATGTAAAACACGATGCAGGATTTTTTTAGCCTGCTGCAATTAGATTTTACAATGCCTACATCCTACATGACTGCCCTCACATTACTTCACCTCATATTACTTCTGGTTGTTACCCCAGTGAGGAGTCATTCCACATGGAATATCTGGAATACAGTAACAGTGTCTGTCAACATCCTATTTGCCTATCACCACATTGTGAATTCCTGGAACAGTTGAAAACAGTATGTTCAGCACAAAGCCACTGAGAGTACAACGGTACATAATTACATTCCAGATATTCCAGGTCACTTAACTACACATGAGCGGCCAGTTCAAAGAGTCACCTGCAACAACAGTGAGCTGAGGAATGGGTAGGCACTATGAGCCATTAGTGGAAGTTTAACAGCACTTACGCATCTTTGTAATTGATGACTGTATCAACGATGGCATTCATCTGTTTTGTGAGTTTGGGTGGATTTGGGGAGAGCCTCTCTGCTGGAGGACGTCCTCTTCTCTTCTTGGCTTTGTCTGCGTCCTCACGCCTCATGTCTTTGTCCACGTGTCTCCTACGCTTGCGCCTCTTCAGCCGTATCTCCTCCTCGATTTCCTCCAGGTTGCCATCCTCTATAGCCTGCCAGAGGTCAAGTTCAACAGGCCACGTTGGCTAGTTAATGATGTGACGATACATTTTCAAGAGAAATTGATAAGTGAAGAGAAATGATAAGAAAAGTAAACAAGATACAACTGTTGATCACTAGATTATATTTACGGTCTACAGGCAATTTGCATTTAGATGTGCGTGATGATTTCAATATATATTTGATCCACCAAAGAAAATTTGTCCAGGCACATACAGCATTTGGGACTGAAGCCTATTCATCTAAATCACAAGCTAAATCAAATAGATGCCAAACAGAAAAATGCCATAGCTATGATTCTACAAATGCAAATTTCACTGATTAGGCTTCTCTGTATGACAGTGGATATTTGATTTGAGGACTTCACCTCCCTATGGCAGCCATAAAAGCCATGCTCATTACCATAAACTACATTTAGAAGTGAAAGAAACTACTGACTACGGGCCCTGATTATGGAGCCGTTTGGACTTTCATCAGTCTCACAATCTGACATGATTGAGATCAGAATTTGTGCAGAACTGCTCTTAATTAAATCCATCTGTCTGGCATCTCTTTTCCATCCTGCCCTTCCTTTTGTTACACAGATGGATATAGAGGTATTCTCTCATCTTCCAGTCAGATTATTTACAAAGAATGAGTCATTCGCCTTCAGTGAATATACTGTATGGTTCAATGCATTTGTGGTGTTGAGTTTGGCCTAACGCCTGCCCCTGCTGTAAAGCAGAAGTATACAAGTGATCCTGCTAGGTTATGTCTGCACAGTAAGATTTTAAAACTCAGAATATGCCCAAAAACATTTGTAATTCCACTACTGAATGAGCGAGACTCCAGAGTAAAACCATCAACTTCCAGAGAAGTTTTGAAAAGCAAGAAATGTATATCTGTCTTTGTTTTTTGGGCTTCTGTAAGATTTGCTGTGGCTTGATCCTCAGAGCAAAGTAAATCAACACACCTGTTATGCAGCTGAGCCAGAGCCCTCATTTGAGCATAATGTGTACGCACAGAGCCAGAAATTAACAATGAACAAATAAACAGACCCTAAAGAGTATCCGCTTTTGAAACCAAAACTCGCACATAAAAACAAATTAATGTGAGTTTCAGTGGTGCAATTTTGATTTTGACTCTCTATCAAGATGTTATGAAAGAGGGTCCAGGCCTATATCCAACCTAACAGTGCATGTTGTGGATAAATTCCCAAATTAAATAAATAACTAAAACAATCAGTTTTGAGTTTGTACTTGCCATTGCAAGCAAATTCAAATGCTAATGTCCTGTTTTAAGAGACACAAAATGCCTTCGTCCACTTAGTTATATAAAGTTTACTTCACATCTGAAATATAATCCAATGTACCATACCATTCAAAACTGTGGGGTCTATAAGTTATTTGTTTATTTATTTCTTTTTGGTCATTTAACAAGCATCTGACAGTAAAGTGACAGTAAAGACATTTATGTTACAAAAGATTTCTATTTCATGTAAATGCTGTTCTTTTGAACATTCTATTCATTTAAGAAACATGAAAAAAATATATCACAATGTCCACAAACTGTTTTCAACATTGATAATAATAATAAATGTTTCTTGAGGATGAAATCAACATATTACAATGATTTCTGAAGAATCACTGAAGTGACACTGAAGACTGGACTGCTGAAAATTCAGCTTTGCTCTGCAGGAATAAATTCTATTTTATGATACATTAAAATAGAAAACTTTTAAATTGTAATAATATTTTACAATACTACTGTTTTTATTGTATTTTTGGTCCAATAAATACAGCCTTGATGAGCATAAGAGGCTTCTTTTGACCCCCAACTTTTGAGCAGTAGTGTACATAAATTTACACAGTTCACTTTTACATTTATGTAATCACAAAGAAAAATATTATGCATGCTTTTTAGCACCACATCAATTTTGTGCATTATCCAGCAGGTCAGCACAGGGGGTACACATCATCCTTTTAAATGCTGTGTCCGGAGCACTCAAATGATGCATCACATGGCTGAGATCCTTGTTGAGAATTGTTATCATGTTAAATACAAATTTAACATTTACTATAAAACTATAAAAACATTCTATAAGTTTCAGAACTCAAAACTTTCTCGTTATTCTAAAAACAGCGTATATTGAAGGCAGTCTGCCAAAATGACAGATTTAGGAATGTTCCACTCTATGATATAATAGTATGGATAAGCACCGCCTCCGCAAAACATCAGCACATTTTTTTGTGATGAACAAACACACACCTGGAGCAGTGGGCAGCTGTTTTTGCTGCGGTTCGGTGCCTTGTTCAAGGGTCTCACCTCAATCATGGTATTAAGAGAGGCAGAGAGTACTCCCCCCACCTACAATCCCTGCCTGTACCGAGACTCGAACCCACAACCTTGGGGTTACAAGTCCAACTCTCTAACCATTAGGCCATGACTGCCCCATTAACATTTTAATAAAAGTTGTATAAGTTTTTATACTGAAAGCTGAGTAGTGCATAAAGTCACTCAAAAGGCTTATAGTTTCTAAAACTATTTTATGCATCAATTTGATCCCTGTATGTGGGCAAGAACAAAACATTGAGAACAGTGAAATCGCTAAAAGTAACATGTACTTCTCCTTTGACTTGCCCACACTTGGCTACAGTATCTCACAGGAGATGCATTACACAAGTTCCAATTACGTTATTCCCATTAGTAGTTGTGTCAGAGTGCTTATTACCATAAAGTTATCTTTTCTCAACGTTGCTGAATCACTGGAGACACCCACGTCATCTTACTGTCGCCTCAAGTGGCCATTTCACACTGAAAATGAATGACTTGGCTGTCAGTGTGAATGACCCCTTTCCAGCAACAGAAGCGCTATGGGTGACTGACCTTTCTTTTGAAACACACATAATGTACATACATATACACCATTTAGATGTTATATCGCACAAGGCAAGAACAGATTTTAGGTTGAAAATGGCCTAGACTGTTTATTTGCCCTAGACTGATACGTATTCTCTCACACCTCGCAACAGACTTCATTTTCCCAACAAAGTTGACTGTTTGCTAAACTGTGCAGTCAAGCGTCAAAATCAATTTGTTGAGCCACTGAGCTGTGCGATGGGGAGATGCTTCGTCATAATTTCCTGTGTAAAAGCAATCTTGGAGAATGATTTCAAGCATAACTTACAAAAGAAACCATTTTTGTGTGTGGAGACTATCACACAGTAGAGTTGTGCCGATAGACGATATATCATATATCGACGATAGTCAGAGATATCGCCTGTGGCTGATGCCACTGATGATAGCAAGACGATTATTATTATTATTAGGCTAGTAATACTATCTAATTAATGTAAGGGCTTATTTGTTCCATGTTTTACAGTGTTGGGCATTATAACCAATCACACACAATTATGTTGAGCTTATGAATGCAATAGCCAATCAGAGGCGTTCAGATGAGTTATCGCTGAAACAGCAGAGTTTTGTTGTTCAGTCGCAGCTGATGAATGGAAAAGAAGCCTGGGTCTCGAGCGTGACACATTGAAAAAGCTGCGAGGCGCAGTGGTCAAAGATTTCCATCTAGCATCATATTTACATAGAAAAGTTACTAAAAAAGCAGCGGAGCTTTGTAAACAGCTCAGAGTAATCATGTCATCTCCATAAGAACGATATGATTGCCAGAATGCATTTACCTGTATTTTTGAAAAGGTCCTGTTCACACATGATCTCTTAATGGTAATTTACCAGTAAGGACTGTATGTGTAAAAGGGGCTAAACTCTTCCTCTGCATATGCGGTGGGTTACTTAACGTTCATCTGGGAAAACTCACTTGATTTGTAACGTAAATCATTTAAACCTATGCCAACACAGGAGAATACATCAACATATTTCTAAATATGCGATGTATTGTACATTGCATTTCAAAATAAAAGTTTCTGACTTTGCATGTGGCCAAATATTAAAATGAAATGGATTTAAATGTCGTTGAAATACATGAATCACCACCAGGCCGTTGGCGCCCTCTGCAGGTATTTGTTATAATATAGGCATATTACATAATGTATTTATCAGTGTTAAACTGATAAAACCAAATAAAACCATTTACTTGGTTTTGATACTTTATTTGAGGCCAATTATTATTGCCTCATCGTTACTTTATATATAAATACAGACAGTCATATTAAAGCCTGTTTTTCACTTAGTTATATTTGTATTAAAAAACATCAGATTACTCACTTGCCGAAATAATCAGTAGATTACTTGATTAGCAAAATAATCATTAGTTAAGCCCTAGATTAGTTAAAACATTTCAAAATACAACTGCATTGTTTTACTTTTTGTGATTAACAGACAAATATTTTGTCATTTGCAAATTTCTTAAAGTATTAATACATTGTCTCGTTCTAGTGAACCAAGTATCTGCATTTTGTCTCACCTTGTGAGCTAAGTGTATTGTCACACCCCTAGTGTCTATGAGCGTGATAAAGCTCATAATTTTCCAAGTGTATGATATAGCTTTCATTCTTCAGGTCAATCATATATTCATGAAAAAAAAAAATTAGTTTGAAAGCGATAACTTTGCCATAGTATCCTTTCAAATGTTAAAGTTGCCACAGTCATTACATTATTAGCATGTGCTGCACTTTATTTGTACCATTTTGTTTTATTAGTTTATTTATTAGAATTTGAAAGATAATAACAATATTGA